CACATTAATGTGAAACAGGATATACGAGAAAAAACGGACAGATAGATAATTTTTTTTGATTGTAAAAAGTGGCTCCTATAGGACAGGTGATTTGAAGGGAGAGCTTGAAAAATAAGATGGCTTGGTGACATCAGCCGAAAATAATATATTTAAATTTTTTTTTTTTTTTTTTACTCTTGTTGATTTGGTACTAAAGAAAAATGTTTTATTATTATCAATGTTAAACACGTTTAATGCTTTCTATATTTCTAAAAAATATTTTTTTATTTAATATTTTATACTATTTTGTGGAAATTGTGATATCTGTTTTTCAGGATTCTTTGATGAATAGAAAGTTGAAAATAAAGCACTTACTTGAAATAGAGATTCTCGTCAGTCACTTTTGATCAATTTAATTGATCAAAGTATTTGCTGAATACAATTATTAATTCTTTCTGATGCCAAACCTTTGATCAGTAGTGTATTTTCAAGTAAAACAATTCACATTCAGCAAGTGAAAGGACATGTCTTTATCTTATCCATCTAATCGGTGTTAGAATGTGAAAAGTAAATCTTGCATACCAGAATGGAGCCAGACCTGAATGCAAGTTTTTTTTTTGCTATTGGATAAAATCATTAACATCAGTGTAATGACATTTCAGAGGAAGATTATGTTACCTTGATTTAAGTAAGACAAATATTTTCTTTGGACTGCATCAATGAATCATCCACAATAAGACAAAGAACGTCCATTAAAAGAACAAAGAGTGTTAATTTTCATTAAGTCAAAATCTAGAGCCCAACCCAGAACATGTTTATCAAGTTAAAACTGGAAAAACTAGTCTTTTTAGCAAATACAAATAAAAATTTGCATCCTAGTTTTAGTGAGCGAGATCTAGAATTAAATGTAAATGTCTGCAGGTGAGTTTAATCAGTTACCGATCAGTGAATACAAGAAAAAAAATTTCATTGTTTGTGTGTTGCATAACACCAAGCAAAACCATTTCTTCTCTACACATATGTCATAGGGTTACTGGGTTAAAATAACACGCATCAAGGAAGCATTTGTGTGAAGAGAGAGCGACAGAGAGGGAGAGAAACATGGAGAGCGAGAGATCAGTGACTTCAAGGTCAGATGAGTGCTGAGTGCCATGTGACATTCGTTTTAGTGTAACATTGATTTCTCACCCCGCTCTTCCCTTCGGCTAAGAAACAAGAGACCCTATGCTTCTGTCTTTCTCTCGCTCTCGCTCTCGCCTATAACACATACACACACACAAAAGCACACAACGGTTGGTCAAGGTTAGTTAGAAAAGCCAATTCCTCTCTGAAACAGGGCTTACTGTGTGACTGCTTACAGTGCTTACAAATGTGTGTGTGTGATATTAGGACTCAAATCCGCTCAAGGCAGTGTTCTGGACAAGAATATTGGGCACAAATTCTTGTGTGTATGTTGGTATATCGACCTAAAGGTGAAGCTGAGCTTGCCTGTCTGTCTGTGCAATAAGAGCGGTGTCCATTTCTGCCTTGCGCACACTTCACAAAAGCTTCATTAATCCAAGACCAACAGAGAGCGGCCTGTGTGTGCACTACCATAAAAGTATGCAACAGACCTTTGCTGTTGCTGTGCGTTCAAAAATGATACAACAAGACAAGATGAGTAATAACATGCAAAATGTACAAAACACAAACAATACTGTCAGGTGTTGCACTCTGGGCCTCTTTACAAAACAATTTAGTGCTGTATTTGTGTTTGCCAGAGGCACTATGATGGAAAAAAACTCAAAACAAAGCTGATGATAGGTTTGAACACTTCTAATGGTGTTTGCTTGTAAAAGAGTCGTGCGTGTTACAGAAACAACACTGATGTTGACAGACATGGTGATGGCGCACCATCATCGCTACTTTTTTCTCCCCTGCAGTTTGGTAGATAAATAATTTAGAAGAGGTGCCTGCTGTTGATTAAGACCTTTACTAACATGTGCCTTCTGGCTGAGAACAATGTGTTGATTCGGTTCACTGTACAGGTTGTGGACATACAGTAGAGACTGATGACATACAAGCATTCATTATACAATGAAACAAAAGAGACAAACTACTGCAGTCTCTGGTTAATGTCAAGAACAAAACACCCAGTGAGAATGTGTGAAAGAGGAAAGAACAAAAAATGGTGCAATATGGTGGCTTGTGCATGCGTGCTTGAAAAGGAAAGATTAAAAATGATTAGGTCTGTGGTTGGTAAGAAAATGGTGCAATGCAGTGTAGCCAACCAAAAAAGAGAAGCTCAGTTTCAATGCATTTCAAGTAGGGATGCACAATATATCTGTGACCCTACCGGAATTGTCCAACTTTTTTTAATGATCAATATTGACATATTAGTGGGATTTTTTTTTTTATTATTATCTGTATTGGTCTGAAGTTGCTTTTGAAAAAATTGGCTCAAAATATTTTACAGTATATGCAGTACAAACTTAATATACAAAAAATGTTTTACATAAATTTTAAACGAAAGGGCATTCCTCTTCTTACTCTTCAACTATCTCTTTTTTCATATTTGCATCTTGATGAATGCAAAACAAATTGTATGGGTATTAATAACAGACAAACTTTAAGTATAGTGTAAAAAGCACTTCACAAAACTTGATGTAAAAACAAAACGATACTAAACTATAAACATAAATGGACGCATCATATTTAAAGTAGTTCACATTAGTTGAATTCTATATTAATGCACCAAGTTGTAGCATTCTTTGGCAACCATAAACAACCTACAGCTGTGTCAACACCGGACACATGTGCATGGCAATTCAAAACTAATAAAGCTAGTTTAATATCGCCATCATATCAGTTTTTGACCATAATATAAAAATAATAATTGTTGTCTGTGTCAACTTTGGTGCATGCCTAAATGTAAGAATGAAATAATCAAAAAAAATAAAAAGTGCAGTAGTACTCAACTGCTTGCAAATGTTATTTGCATACTGAGTATACTTAAAGGATTAATTCACTTCCAGAATAAAAATTTCCGGATCATTTATTCACCCCCATGTCATCCATGATGTTCATGTCTTTCTTTCTTCATTCACAAAGAAATCAAGGTTTTTGAGGAAAACATTCCAGAATTTTTCTGCATAAAACGGACTTCAATGGGAACCAATGGGTTGAAGGTCCAAATTGCAGTTTCAGTGCAGATTCAAAGGGCTCTACACGATCCAAGCCGAGGAACAAGGGTCTTATCTAGCAAAACGATCAGTCATTTTCTAAAAAAAATTTTAAATGTATATAGTTTTTAACCACAAATCTTGCAAACATCTTGCACTAGCTCCGAAATGCGCGTCCGCAAATTCGTGCATGACGATGGAAAGGTAACATGTGGTTAGCTCTTCGTCTGTGTACTCCGGTTCAAAAAGTTAGGGTAGGGCGAAAAACTCCATCTCATTTTCTCCTCCAACTTCACATTCATCCGACATTGTTGTTTTACCTTGTTTTCTAAAGGGCGTTTGACTTTCTTTGCACGTTAGCCTTGTAAATGCTGGGTCGGTGGTTCCGCCTACATCATGCGTGACCTTTCCAACTTGATTACGTAATGCGTGAAGTCGAGCTAGTGCAAGACGAGCATTTGTGGTTAAAAAGTATATGAATGTTTATATTTTTAAGAAAATGACCAATCGTTTCGCTAGATAAGACCCTTATTCCTCGGCTGGGATCGTTTAGAGCCCTTTGAAGCTGCACTGAAACTGCAATTTGGACATTCAACCCGCTGGTTCCCATTGAGGTCCATTATATAGAGAAAAATCCTGGAATGTTTTCCTTAAAAACCTTAATTTCTTTGCCACTGAAGAAAGAAAAACATAAACATCTTGGATGACAAAGGGGTGAGTAAATTATCCGGAAATTTTTATTCTGCAAGTGAACTAATCCTTTAATGCAAATATGCACGTTTTTTAATACACTTTGTTAAAAAAAATGAACATGATGACAAAGCATTACCACCATATGTCTCACACATTGAGGCCTACAGATATTCCCCATGTTCTGTTTGTTTTTAAGGGTTGGATGTACAGATCGTGCAGTTGTCATACTGAATGGTTTGGTAAATATTGTCAGAGATAATAGTCTACACTGCTCACTGCTAAATGCTTTCGAAAACAGATAAACCTGCTTTAGAAAAATGGCACAGCTGACTTAAAGCTATTGCCAATGTGTTTGACTAGTTTAGGAGAGCCTGATCTCCCTGAAGACAAAATATATTTTACCTCTAGCGCCTCTGAATAACTCGCTGGCCATAGCGGTAACTATGGAAACCATTATTAAGACGCCTCTGAAACGTTCGTGAAAGCGAATCCGGCGCAGTTTATTTTATCCATTACTTTTAATATCGTGTCATGCGAATAAGACATTGTGGTTAAGACTAGTTAGTTTCTATCTCTGTCTCCATCTCAAAGAACTTGAAAAACAAGACCGTACAGTAGGCCAACACTTACTGTTCGTAACATTTTAAAATGGTGTACATTTTACAGTATACATGAGCTGGAGCGGGAAAGAGTTGCCACTTGCCACTCCGGTCTTTCTATATGTTTCCATAACTATGGCAGCGCATTCTATGAAACACTGTTGAAAAGTACAGCTGCTGCTTCCGCGTATCTGGACAGCGTAACTAAGCCGAATAAAAAACTATTTAGCAAATTTCTTTTCCTCTCCAGAACTTGAACGTTTGGGAACACACGATATTAAGCATTTAAACGACTTCCTGTCCAAAAAAGCGTCTCTAATCTCTCGTTACCGAATGTCTAGAATTGTCTCCACTGAATCAGATATGGATTTGTTGAGATACTTGTCGCTGGATGCTCGCGGCGACCGATAGACCAACATCGAAAATGCGACGAAATCCATTGGTTGTTGGCGGACAACGTGGATGTTTCATGTTATACATTGTCTGTCATTTCTACGCTCTCGATGGGCGTATTTATAAGCACCCACAAAGCGCACTAAAAGTGAAAAGTTGCAAGCACATAACTTACCAACTTAAAAGTCCGAGAGGTTTCAGTAATTCGTCTCGTATTCTCACTGCTGCTGTGTGAGTTGAGAGCAGAATGAGTGGCGCGGCGTGTTTGAGGAAGTATTTAGCCGCTCACTGTGCCTGTCTGGGGTTTGACAATACTGGAGGAGGGACGTCGGGCAGGTAGAGAGAGAGAGAGAGAGAGTGAGGGGGGAGAAAAGAGAGGGAGAGGGTGAGGGAGGGAGGGGATCTCTATCTATCTATCTATCTATCTATCTATCTATCTATCTCATTTATGTTCAAAACAGCAGATCACTTTATAAGTAAATAAATTCAATGAGTAAATTCACTAGTAAAGTAACTCAGTTATCAGTTGTTTAATGCATCAGGCTTTGAGTTGTCAAAGCCTGCATGTCTTTGAGAGATACTCTGTGATGTCATATAGTTAAATATTTATCAGATGTGCACAATCAAGGTCATAATTTTCTAAATACAAATACAAATGTATGCTTCTCATTTAACTGCCCTAGAACTGGTTTATGAATTACCATTCTTGGAAGTTGACCTGGTTCTTTCATTTCCTGAAGGCAGGAGAATCCTGAAGGAAACCTTGGCTTTGGGAAATCCATTCAGTCAACCCACACCTACACAAGTAGTGGGCATGGACAAAACACTTATTGCACACACACGTGCACGCACACACATGCACACACGCAAATACACACACACACACACACACACACACACACACATACACATACACATACACATACAGAACCAGAATATGAGAACCAGAAGTCACATGATGCTGACTCACAGACTGCCCCACCCCTTCAATCTAGGTCTGTCAGTGTTGTATAAAGCTCTGAGTTTCAGTTTTTCTATATTTAGTATCATTTTCAATGACTGTCTGTTCACCCCAGTCGAACATTTTATGTGTAACAAATTACGTGTGTAAACTGCAATCCAACAGATTATTATACAAAGTTTTGAAGAATAGTGAGGACTATTGCATTGGTTTATGATTTATGGTTTCACTTCTCTTCTGTTTTATAGAACTGCTTCTTGCCAGTTATTCCTATCTTCTCCTTTACTGTTTCTCTTTCCTCCTTATTTTTTCTCCCCTCTTCCTTTCTGTCTTATCTCACCCCTTTTAATACAATTTATCAGTCTTGCCTCACTTCTCTTTTACTATCACTTCCCTCTTCTTTCCCTCTATCTTTAAAGCCAAGTCTGTAATGAGTTTTAAATATGTGTGAGAATGTGATATAGTTTATAATTTTTGTAACATTCGAATAGTAGGTCTAGCAAAGTGGCGTTTCTTCCTCACTGAAAATGTAGCCTATTATCATATTAATTTGATAACATCTTAACCCAGTCTTTTTTACTCTCAGAAGTGGTTCTAAACTACTTTTCCTTTGGATATAAAAGTAGCAACCCAACAAAATGCCAAAACTGTTTATTGCACAAAAATAAACAAAAATGCCTTTAAAGGAATAGTTCACCAAAAAATGTAAATTGGCTGAAAGTTTACTCACCCTCAGGCCAGCCAAGATGTTGATGTGATTGTTTCTTCACTGGAACAGATTTGGAGAAATTGCCCACCAATGGATCCTCTGTCCATCCCCTGTTGTCCTCTCACATCAAAACCCAACATATTTGTTTAGACGGTTTTTACTTGTAAGCAATGCTTGATCTGTGCATATTTCTCTCTTGATTCAGCGAGAATGACTTTAAAAAAAAAGTTTCTTACAAACGTGCAGCTTTTCACTTCACAAGACATTAATTGATGGAAAGTAGTCATGCAGATTATTTGAGGATTACCGTGAAATCAGGTCTTTGAACTCTCATTCTGACGGCACCCATTCACTACAGAGGATCCACTGGTGAACAAGTGATGAATTTATATCTGTTCTGATGAAGAAACAAACTCATGTATATCTTGGATGGCCTAAGAGTGAGCAGATTTTCAGTAAATTAAAGATTTTTTGGGGTGAACTATTCCTGAACCTGTATTTCATGTAGCCTGGACTGTCTTATTTTGCATCGAGGTTTTTAAGGATGAGAACGTGTCATGCAACCTGTTCATGTTGTCATTCACATTTAGCATCTTTCCCAGCTGCTTGTGACCCTGTCAGAACCGGTCTTCCCTGTTGAAAAAAACCCCCAGCATATGCTGGTTAGGTATTGAAGCAAGCATGCCTACTCAGGACCAGCTTAGGACCAGCACATGACCAGCTTAAACCAGCTAAGGACCAGCTTAAACCAGCTCAAACCAGCAGGCATGCTTCAATACCTAACCAGCATATATTTTTTAAACAGGGGACCCACCGATTAAAAACTACTGATCTTCACTGTCTCCATCATAACAGACATTAACAGGAAAGACTCTAATAGCTATGACTTCCTTGACTTTCCTAGTTAAACTAATTGGCTCCTGGTGGACTCACTCCCACTGTGTCAGTGAGGCTGATCACTGGGCAGAGGAATGACTGACCGAGGGCGGAGTCAGCCCCAGTTTTCCCGCAGAGCCAGCAGTCTGAGTAATGACAGGAACCTGGTAGGGAAGAAAGAGGAAACTCCCCCAAAAAGAACAATTTGTCTGGTTATCAACTGCTATCTATTCCTCACTCTGTGTCTCACTCTGATTCTGTCCCTTCTGATATCTTTCTGTTACATAAAACGGGCACTGAAGGAATACGTATGTTGATTATGTAAAACAAACAACTAAAAAGTAGAAATAAATGGGATTCCATGCCAGAATGAATGTCCTTTATAATGGACAAGTGATTCTGAGTTATTCTGAACACCACTGCATTTTAATAACTGGTACAGAGTATAATAAACTGGTTTGTACGTTTTGCACCCTGTTGTATGTTTTTATACTGTTGTTCTCTGCTTAAAGAGAAGACAGGAATGTTCATGTCCAGGCTGTGTTCTCCAAAAGAAAGCTTGATAATGGTGGTGACCTCATGGATACAGCGATAGCACTCTGGAACTCTGCCCTCCCACTGGAGATAAATAGCACATATTCATTTGGTCATGGGTTAGGGTGACGGAAAAATCAGGAAATAAAGAGCAAAGGTGCTAATATCCTGGAATACATTAACCTGGTTGGGGAGAACAGCGCTAACAGAAGACTACCTCTGTTTGTTTGTAAAGAAAAGATGCTCATTTACCATTCAAATGTATGTATTTCGAACAGGCAAATGGAAAAGGACTCCAAACTCTGAAGTCCTGTAAGTTTTAGCCAGTAATGGAAGTGAAGCTCATTCATGAAACCACAAAAGCCAGATATGAGCACATGTTTTCCAAGCCCTAATTGGATCTTTTCATGCCCATTGTGCTTTAGATCTTGAGGAACAGAGGAACACCTGTGTGTGGTCAGCCTTTGTTTCAGTTTGAGGTTCACTTTTCTCAAATCATTATTAGATCTTCTCAGAATGACTGTAAAACTAAAATATGAAGACTTTATATCATGGCTCAATGAAATTTGTATCTTTGGGGTCCACAAAATGATATATAAAATATATAGAATTCACTTTAAAAATGTCAAAATATAGGCCTACACATATAAAAAATCACTCGTAATCGTGCTGTTGGTTCAAATATCAACATGACCATGATTGCCTACTCTAATTGCTTTTAAACAAAGATTCAGTAAACAAGATGATGACATTTTAGACACACCATTTATTTTGTGTATTTTTGCTCCACCAACAAAAATGACGAAGTCAAAGCAGTAATCTGACATTACTGATGTTTTTAACTTCAATTGGTTGCTTCCAACTAAAATATGTGTCCTCTATCCATAATATTGCTTTCTCCAGTGAAAATCATCTCATCTCGTCTGAATCAGGAGAGAAATATGCACAGATAAAAAAAAAAACAAATCAAACAAATATGTTGGTGGGTTTTGATGTGAGAGGACAACAGGGGATGGTCTGTTATTTATTTATTTTCGCTTCACAAGACATTAAAGGGGTCATATGATGCTGCTAAAAAGAACATTATTTTGTGTATTTGGTGTAATGAAATGTGTTTATGCGGTTTAAGGTTAAAAAAACACATTATTTTACACATACTGTACATTATTGTTTCTCCTCTATGAAAAATTGAAATCGCATCATATGACCCCTTTAATTGATGGACTGGGGTCGTATGGATTGTTTTTATCAACTGTTTGGGCTCTCATTCTGACGGCACCCATTCACTGCAGAGGATCCATTGGTGAGCAAGTGATGTAATCGTAAATTTCTCCAAATCTGTTCAGATGAAGAAACAAACTCATACATCTTGTGTAGCCTGAGGGTGAGTAAATCTTCAGCAGATTTTCATTTCTGGGTGAACTATTCCTTTAAGTGAGGCACAGGCAGTTGTTGAATGTACTATTTTAATGGTCATAGTACAGACACTTGAAGAGAGGAAGTGGAGTCATAAAGGCACCTTGTTCTCCATGTTGAACGTCTATATGTCTGAACCTGGTTACGAGCTCATTCTTCATCCACCTGTACGCTAACAAAAATACAGTCCCCAATCTAATGAAATGACATTTTAAGCAATTAAATGCTTAGAATTGATCAATTACTCTTTCATTAGTGGGTCAGGGGAACTCAAGTGTGGCAACTAGAACAGTCCCATTTCTATCTCACTTTCCTTCTTTAACATCCTTTTTCTCTTTCTTGCCATATCGCCACCTTCTCATTGCCACACTATTGTTATATTCCCTGGATCCTCTTTTTCAGTCTTCGTTCCTGTTCTTTGCGTTCTATCTTATTTTATATTCTTTTTGTCCTGTCCTGGATGACCTAGTAAAGCTCAGTCTAATGAAGGCTACTTAGTCTCGACAGCAGACTAGAAACTATTAGTGTATGCTGATTTGACATCAGTATTGTGCCTTTCTCAGTGAGTAGGCTTTATATTTAACTTTGGAAAACTGATCCCAGATCTGTTTCAACATAACAGTTTTCAGGGGGCCTACAATAGCACAGTGGACCTCTGCATCATTAATATTTCAAAGGATGAAAAGAAATAGGGCGAAATGTTTTGTGCTGCCTCTTTTTTCTATCATATCAATTATTTAGGCATTCTGCTGCTTAATCAACATCTCTTTGTCTGTTGGCCGAAGTG